CCACTCTGCAGGCTCCCTCCCAGCCCCTGAGCTCCACCCAGTTGGAGGGGGTAGAAGGGGTAGAGTGGCCTCTACTCCACAGCGTTTGACTGCATGTCCTCCTGGTGAAGAGCGCCTTTCACACTCATTTTTGCAGTGAAAACTAGGCAAAATATTTTTAACAACTTTGATTTGGGGCATAAGATCACAGAGATCCAAGGAGCTCAATTAGTTTATCCTGGGCACAAAGACATGGGGACAGGACAAAAGGAGAGCACAAGAGCGAGGAGGAGACCCAGCTCCAGGGCTGAGGCTGAGGACCACCTGCATGGCTGGGTCCGGGTCTCCTTCTGTGGAGGCCTTGCAGGCAGCGCCTGCCTCCTGTGCTCCCCTTCAGGATTGGGAATGCAGACCTCGTGACTGTGCCTTGCACTGATGCTGGATTCCTGGTAAATAGCTGGCCTCTGTCTAGTGATGGCCCAGGTGCTCTGACCCCTCTGTGGCATGGTGGGGCATAAAAAGCTAAATCAACACTGTGTGTCCTCAGACGTACCTGTGGTCACTCCTGCTGTGGCCCTGGTGGGTTTGCTAAGTGTGGCCACTTAGTAGGAGGTGGCTTTGATCTCGCCCCTAAGTCTGCGCCTCCAGGGCTAGGTAGCCGGCTGGTCCTGCAGAGCTCACCTGGCCGGCTTTGTCTCCAGCACCAGGGTGGTCCTTCACTCAGGCACCCCCCTCCCTTCCCCTCTCTCTCTCTCTCTCTCTCTCTCTCTCTCTCTCTCTCTCTCTCTCTCTCTCTCTCTCTCGTCTTTCTCTCTTTGGGCTTTGCAGTTTGAAGGAGCAGTGTCATGGTACGGAACTATAATCCTTGAAATGTCTGAGAACTCCACTAAACCCTCAATGGGCAAAGCCACAGTGTTCCCCTTCTGTGGCAGGGAAGTGCTCCTAGGGGTTTGCGTCTGAGGGGAGATCTACTGAATAAGAAGACCTGGCAGGGAGTTAATGTGGGAGGGACCAAGTTGTCATTTTCCCTGCTAGACAGGGGCTAGACACGCCCCCTGGTAGGTAAGATGAGCCCA